GCTTTGGGTGGCATTGACATTTTCACAATGTTAAGTCTTCCTATCCATGAGCATGGTGTGTTCTTCCATTTATGTAGGTCTCTTTTGGTTTCTTGCAGCAGTGTTTTGTAGTTTTCTTTGTATAAGTCTTTTACATCCCTGGTTAGGTTTATTTATAAGTATTTCATCTTTTGGGGCTATTGTAAATAGTATTGTTTTCCTGATTTCCTTTTCAGCGTTCCCTATGTTAGTGCAGAGAAATCCAAAGGATTTTTATGTTGATCATGTACCCTGCCGCTTTACTGAATCCTTCTGTTAGTTCCAGTGGCTTTCTTGTAGAATCTCTGGGATTTTCTATGTATAGGAGCATATTATCTGCACATAGGAATAGTTTTACTTCTTCCTTACCAATTAGGTTGCCTTTTATTTCCCTTTCTTGCGTTATTGCTCTGGCTAGGACTTCCAGCACAATATTGAGTAAGAGTGGTGATAAAGGGTATCGTTGTCTGGTTCCTGTTCTCAAAGGGAATGCTTTCAGTTTCTCTACATTGACAATAATGTTGTATATTTATTTTTATATAATGGTTTTAAGAAACAAATAGCATCATTAAAGGGAAAGTTTTTGAAAAGAAGAAAAATCAGTCCACCACCTTAACATAGCCACATATGCACATTATGTGCAATTACAATTAAGGAATACACGAAAGTTTTTTCATGTAACATTATATTATAAATGTTTTCAACACTGCCTTACATATTCCATGTTAACATTTCTAATAGCTACAGAATATTCCACCAGTTTGATGCATCACAGTTTAATTAACCAATTCTAAATTGTTAGACATTCAGGTTGTTTTCCATTTACCTCTTTTAGAAACAGTGCTTCAATACTGAACATGGGTATGGGTTTTCCCCATATTTTAGAAAACTGTCTCATGATCAATTTCTAATAATGGAATTACTGGTCAATGAGATATGAGTATAATTATGCTAGTCATACATATTGGAATACATAGTGCTTCCCAAAAAGATCGTGTTAATGTAACAAGGTCAAAACAGTCTTACGCTGGCATTGGGTGGTACTATTGAAAATATTTAAAAGAGACTTAAAATTATAAGATGAATTTAATAGATTTCAAAAACAATAAGACTGTATTAAAATGTGAATTTTGTTGACTGCTGGTAATGTTGAATTTTTTTCTCCATATACTTGTTAATGATTCATAGCTGTGTCTCCAATAGCCTTTGCTTTTTCAACGATTGAGGGCTTGGTGACTTTCTCTTGTGTTTGAATGAACTCTTTCATGGTAAATGTAAATATTTTGCTAGTCTGTTCTTTTAATATTTATTTATTTTTTCTTTTTATTGTGCTTTAGGTGAAAGTTTACAGAGCAAATTAGTTTCTCATTCAACAATTTATACACAAATTGTTTTGTGACATTGGTTGCAATCCCCACCATGCGTCAACCGTCTCCCCTTCTCCACCCCCGCTTCCCCATTTCCATTTGTCCCGTTTTCTTGTCTCTTCCTGCTTTCTCATCTTTGCTTTTGGGTGGTTAATTTTAATTTTTTATAGTTTAAAAAATGTTTTAATCTTTATACAACTCAATTTGTCAATTTTTCCTTTGTTAGCGCTCTTCACTTTAGAAATTGAATGTATATAAAACATGACATGTTAACTACCCAGTCATAATAGACAAAGATCATTGTCATAATAATAAAAAATCATCTTAGAGTGCCTGAGTATACTTGGCAAATATGAAACTTATGAAAATGAACAATGCAGTGTATGCAAACTTAGAACTTACTGGAAATGTGTGAGCGTGTAAGGGCAGAAGGGGAAAAGGATGAAGAAAGAGAGAGCAACTTCTTCTTTCTGTTGGGGCATGACAGCATATGTCTCCCAGCACGGAGAAAGAACACAACCTACACTAAACACGCAGGCAGCAGCTGGCTTTCTTGGGCAATCTTTCAAAACAAAAGTGCCTCTGACTGGTGTTAGTTTTCTTTGCCAGTGATGCTCATGA